CCGGAAAGCGCGAGGTGCGGGTTCTACTACCGCCTGGGGCACGACTTTTGCCCACAACTAAGCATTCCTGTGATATATAGTTCCAATTTATAACCGTGAACTTTTCGCTGAGGGGTTTCGTGAATTGGAATCGATAATCGTATTTTAGCTTTCTCGACAGCGTCGATCGGATATCAAATGTAAACTATAAGCCGACCGATCAAGACATATTGTTCACCCGGATAAAGACCACCGGCATCGTCGAAGTCTCGTTTATGATTAAAAAAGTCAATTTCAGGTAAGTAGTCACGGCATTTGCAGACACGGCTCATTAGCACTTTCTGCATGCAATAAGGCTGCAGAGCGAAATAAGCACCTTCAGAAGTAGGTAATTCAATTACAATACGATTGAATTGCAGAGTCTTTGATGTCGGTGGTCAAAGATCGGAACGGAAGAAATGGATTCATTGTTTCGAGAACGTGAACGCTATCATTTTTATAGCTGCTGTTAGTGAATATGATGAAGTGCTCTTCGAGGATGAGACGACGGTAAGCACTCCGGTCAAAGTGTTGCTCCAGCGATACGTTTTCCGGTCGGCCTGCACCACAGATTCACAAATATGCTGTTTTTCCCAATAGATATCTCCCATTGGGGAAATAGCGAAAAAAAGGCATGGGAACAGGAACACTCTGGACAGAGACCCTTTAACAGGGGGCCGACGCCTCGGACGAGTTTGTCAGAAGTCGAACAAGCCCAATCAGCAGGATTCGACGTGCAACCAATTCCCAGCAAGAGCACAGGAAATCACCCTACGACGCTCCAGGCAACGCTATGTACACACGCATTCCGCTTGTAAGCCGTTGTCTTGCAGAGTGAAAGTAATCGTGGTTGCAATGGTTGCAATAATCACGCGTCTCTAGCTTCTTTATCTCGCCGTTTCGAGTGCGAGGTCTCTGCGAATGCTAGCAACGCTTGATCGCGGAAACTGTCTTTAAACTGAACAGGGCTTCAGAAAGAAACTCATCATCTTTCATTTTAGGGTTTTATGGCGAGGAAGAGTAGTTTTTGACCCAGCTGTGGAGAGAACCCGGGTTTACCTTGTAGGTTGAACGAAGTGTGTTGATTAAACATTTCTCCTCAGCGCTGTGACGTACTCTGCTACGCAATAGGTTTTTCACAATGTTTTTTGCTGTTTCTGGAGCTGCAAAAAGCTATTGTCACTAATTTTCCGCTATTCTCTAAATAATTCTCCTTTTCACCCTGTTTTTAATTGGATTCTACTGTGAAAGCTTTTTGCCATAATAACGTTCCTTGTGAATGTGCTGTGGTACGTCACTATAAAAAGCACATCACGCTTGGAGTGAGAATTCCCCTGTGGGATAGAATTCTCATAATTGAATTGCTTTTAAATGTAATGACCAGAAATCGTGCATACGAGAACAATTTAGACGGCGCTCAATGAGGATCACATTTTTTGTAGTCAATTGCTCTTGACTTTTCGCCTTCATCTTAGGTCAGCGACGTTGTACAAACTGCCTCCTGCTTTCCAATGCAGATGAACTGAGAGGGTTCCTCATTAGGAATATCATGAATCAAGTAGAGCTACCACAGCCCAGTGCAACGAGAGCTTCAAGGTCCACCTAAAATGTTTCCCTGTTGATCACCTATTTTGAGTAGTTGCAGACCGACTAACCTCTACCGACATACCATCATCGAAGAATGGAATCTAGCAATCAGGCGAAAGCACATTCCGGATCACACCAAGTCGATTTTGGGGTCAAAATGTGAACCGGTAGATCCTCGTTGACTCATCAATGATGAAATTTAGTACCACAACTTTTGAGACGTCCTATATAAAGCCCCAGTTCTTGATAGGTCTTTGAAGGTCCCATCTAGATAATGCGCACCATAACCATGTTATGGAGACTAGGTCCGCTTCGGAAGAAGGATGTAGCATCCTCTGAACATGCCACACCTCCGGCCTCGAAAACAACCTGCTTACTATATACTCCCCTGAGGTCCTCGCTGTGTATGAGGTGGATGGTTTTCGGTAGCGGAGTAGGCGGCTATTTGCGTCTAGTCAATAGTGCATGGAACTGGGCGTGAACCGCGATGAAACCCCGGGGCTATTTCCATACTTTGCCCCACAGAGGATAGCGCAGGAGGAGTATGGAGACATCCGAATACCACTCACCTACAACCCTGTTTTCGTGCGCTTCTGAAAGGAGAAACTTGTGCCTAGCTGCGGGCCCATCGACCACATACAGGGAGAGAAAAGGATCCACGGAAGTGAGGAAGAGCTTTTCTTTAAAATGACCGCAGCACCATGTTCACTCACTGTAGTGTGCGAAACTGGGACAACCTCTGGGGATGCCGACTGGCCCACAAGAAAGGTTTATACCTATCGCAATCGCGGAATGTGTCTACAAGACACATGGCTATTAGCATTTCATGTGGATCACACGGGGCTCCCACGAGGTGTGAGTGCATATGCGAAGCACTTTATTCAACCTTTCGTTCTCCAGAGCAACTCCTATAAGTCAGTGCACTAGCCGTTCCTCAATTACACTAGCCGTTCCTCAATTAGAGTTCAAATTCCTATAAGTCAGTGCACTAGCCGTTCCTCAATTAAAGTTCAAATTATCAGAAATAATTGCGGCGTAGTCAGCTTTCAAAAAGTAATTGTCAATGGCGACTTGGTTGCCATGCAAACAAGGAACTTGAGTAATTAGGTTTGTGACGTAGCAAACCGCACATAACAAACCGATGTGTAATTGTTTTTTCTTCTTTTGCGCTGCCCACAAAGGGGACTGACAGTTGTGTTATGGTTTCGAAGGAAACTGTGCCATGACAGAAGGGTCGGAGTGAGTCCATTCAGCACTACTGATCTGGTGACATCCCGAAATCTCAGTTTCTGCTGAAACTTGGAAGTATAAAGGATAAAGTCTTTAGACGTTGACCAGTCCCTTTCTGAGATGCGGCACGCATTCTACCTCCATTCAGAATCGTAGTGGCCTACTGAAAGTGGGCTACGCAGCGGCTCGCCGGGGCCAGGTAATGTACAAGTCAATATCCTTATTCTCCTAGACGAACCTAGTACCCACTCACCATCCTCTAAAGGACTCGGTTGGCCTCGGCGGGAGCCGACCCGCATTTGCCGCGGGCGTGGTAAACGTGCCGCTTGCCACCGCAACCTCCGCCTGCGGGAACCCGACCCTTATTCATCATTTTCTGCCCTGATTATTATTAGTATCTCATTTATCTCTGGGCCGTCGCGGGGTTTTTTCACAAAAATCGTAACAATTTCGTTTGCAGAGGTTAATAAGCTTTCTGATACCAAATTGATATAGGTCGGTATTGATTTTTGGCAACGCGCCGATTTCGCGCAACTGTTCTTTTGACTGTGCTTGTTATAAACTGGCGCCTGCCTCCAATCCGCCACACCTTGACGCAACTGTCCCACACCGGTTCAGCGGCAGCTCCCATCTGTGCCTGCAATTTCTGAGTTCACTGTCCTTGTCACTTTCCAGAATCGAATGCTCGAATCGCAACGCCTATTCGAATCGATTTGCAACAGCCGATGGTTTATCAACACTTCGATTATTTTATTTATGAATAAAAAAGATCTCTTTATGGAAAAGATTCAGCGTGTATCCATCAAAACGGCATTTCCAGAGTACTCAGGTCTGTTTTTCATACTATGACGGCTTCGTTTTTACCGTAGTCAACGGAGTACTGTATCCATGAAATTTGTTGTTGGATATATATATATATTTATATTATTCCTCCTATCAAATATGACGAAGCCGTTCACTGCGCAAATAAAAATTTGGAATATATATTTTCGAAGAAACCTATATCTTCATTTCGAGATTACCACCAAAGTAGGACGCATCTCAAAACTAGGTGATAGATAATAGAAGCATTTTGAGACGCATTTTCTTCCTTTCGGAGTCGTGGTAGAACTTCGACTCGGACTGTACAATGAATGACCCGAACATCTAGTCGGTGAATCGTTCAGAGTTTCTATCCTCTCTTAGCAGCCTAGGACAAATTTGACCGGAAACAATGGTGAAAAGGATCAGTCGTTCGCACACTAACAAGGGAGGTGTTTCAGGTCATGCTGCGCTTTTTGGAAATGCTTTGTTCGCTACTGACTAACATCCGCATGTGACGGCGGATTTGCGGTGGAACCCTGGCCTCTGAAGAAGACGACCACGTCGAAACGTTAGGCCGCTAAATAAATATTCCACCTGAAAACCTCGAGAGGCACAGCAGTATTAACGAATCTTGTTGTAGGGGTCCATACAAGGGTCACAAAAATGGGTTTCATTTTTGCTATGCGTTTCTGGGTAGGTCAAAAACTGAGTGAAAAGAATTTGGCAGGAATGGGCGGTTTTAACAACGTTAATGGGCTCCGTTCTGCTTGTAACTTCGAGCATGCATTGTTTATGGTGTGTTCGTTAATTAGGACTCGAAAATAGATTTGAATGAAGCAAAATGTAAGAATCATGTAGTGACACTCTTGCCATGCACCAGCGCAAGGGCGCTGTTTTGTGAGCGGGCCTTTCACGACCACTGCCGTCAGGTCGAATGGCGCAGCGGATAACACGACGGATTCTGGATCCACAAAGTGCCCCCTTGCCGTGCCATCCAGAACCCGTCGTGTTATCCACTGCGCCATCCGATCCGTTTGCAGTGGTGGTTTGCTGACAAAAACATCACTCTTGCGTCGGTGCATGCCAAGTGTGTTACCACATGATACTTACATTTTGACTTTAATCGAATCTATTTTGAGGCCTAATTAGTGACCACCTCATAAACTATGCATGCTCGAAGTTACAAGCAGAAAAGGAGCCCATTAAGGTTGTTAAAACCGCCCATTCTTGTCAAATTCTTTTCACTCAGTTTTTGACCTACCCAGAAACGCATAGCAAAAATGAAACCCATTTTTGTGATCCTTGTATGGACCCTACAACAAGCAACAAACCATTTCCAAAAGCGCGCCATGACCTGAAACACCTCCCTTGTAAATCAAGAGCTGGCATCTGATCCTTGAACTCCATACGTCGCAAGCAACGTCTCTTGCCACTGTATGTTCCACTTTTGCCCTGGATTAAGTTCACTCCCTCAATAGTGTCAACACTGTCTCCTACTCGTTCAAGTTTGATGTGTCCGGGTGATGAAGAAGTTTTCTCAAATAATGCTGGCGATGCTCGTTTCCCTGTCTTCTAATCAGTCCTTCGTGATGTTCTTTGGAAACTTGCAAAGCTATCAGAGCACTTGTTATGACTGCAATGCTTTCTCTTGTTTCTCTGAAATCCCTGAGATCTTGGGCACCAAAACAACACTATGTAGCTGGATCGCAGCAAAGTTGCTACCTTAGCCTACTCACCAATCGGGTAACGATCAAAGAAAGACGCTGAAGAAATGTCACATATTTTTCGTAGACGAAAGAGCCTCTAGTTTGCGTGTCAAACATTCCTTATTTATTGGCTGCCTTAGTTGGTTTCAGGGTTTGCTCCAGCGATCAACGCTGGTTTGTTTT